TGCCATGATGGACTTGGTTTGAATCCTGGTTAACCTGTTGGCTGTGTGATCCTGGGTGAATTACTTGCCCTCTCAGCACCTGTCTTCTCCTCTGTAAAATGTTGATGGTGACTGTGCTAGGGTCAAAACAATAATTTAGGATGAGTGAATGAGAGAAATGCCTAGTATGGTATGACATGTGGGAGGCACTCAATTTGCTTTCCTTCTGTAAAGATGGTTATTTGCAAAAGTGGACCTCAGACATCCACAATAGTTTCATGTTTGTATAGGTAACATATTCTCTTCAAATATGTCTCAGGTTACACAGTGAGTCTTAACTCCATAATGGGATATTGAGGTGGTAATGTCTGTGTTGTTAAAAAGCACAGCCCCCCACCTCCTCAATGAAAATCACTAGTCTTCACTGTGATACCCTAGGTATCTCTCACTGGTTTGATATTTCTATGATACCTTATCTTTCACTCTTAAAGCTTCATCTCAGTGAAGTAAGGATTTGCCTCCATGGGAGGGCAATCCATTAAGCAAATGGAAATGGTAGTTGATAAACTACCTTCTCATGTGTAGCTAGATGCCAGGGAGCATTTTGTGGGTCTAGGGGAGTTTTGATGAAAAAGAATAGTGGGAAGATGGAGAGTATACAGATCCTGGGGGAGGACTGATTGGATCATATGGGGAAAAAAACGGATAAAAGGGAAGGTGGGACAAACTGAAGACAATTGTCATTTTTCTCATAGAGTCTCACTTAGCAGGCTGTGATTTGGCTGTTTCTGGGGGCACCTGCTTCCTCTCACTAGAAACTGCTATCTTATGTTGTAACCCTGTTGCATGTTCAGTTTTACCTACCCGAGATATAAGACCTGGACCCGCCACTTGAGTCATATTTGGCTACCTGAACCATCTCATCAAAGTCATATTAAGTACCATAAAATCTTAGAATTTTATCTGTCAAAACCTAAATAGTTCTTCCTATAATGATACATGAATAGTTATCAATAAAGTTTGTAACTGAAAATATAGAAAATTAGGAGAAAGGAAATGGTGTCATCTGGCATGAACGGCTCATAGGCTAGATTAATTGAGCATCACTTTTTGTTTGTTCTAAGGAAAGCATATAGGACCAAAGTGCCCATAAATTTCTTATTTGAAGTAATGTTTAGATATTTGGGTAAGGGACCTTATAATTGAAAATACTAAAGATACCTCTTAGACCAGGCCATGAGATTTGGACTGAAGAGATATGATGAAGCTGAAGGTCAAAGTTATGACTTTGAGAAGAGTCAGGCAATATCATCATCTGAGGGACCCATGTCTTTCAGTAGGTAGAAGTTCCTGAATTACAATTAAGACCTCCCTTTCCAGGCTGCAACTTAACTTCTTTGGCTTAGCAGACACTATCAGTAAACAAGCATTCCTAGGGGATATCTACTAGACCTTCTTTCATAGAGCAAAATTCCAAGGGCTGCCTGGATCTCCACCCTTATTTTGTCATCATCTTCAAGAGAGTCTGAGTGCACAGCAATGGAAAAGTAAAACAGTTTGTGATTTTGTGCTAAATTGCATGTATAAAGAAAAGAGTAAGATTGCAGTGCATTGAATCACTCAGATAGCTTCACGGAGAAAGAAGAATTTTTGCTGGACCTTGAGGGTAGGTAAAACTTAAACAAAGATAGGAAAGAGCATAGCTAAGAGTCTATTTCTGTGACTTTGTTTATTTTCACTGATGACTTCCATGTTGAAACTCCTAAGAATGATTTATGTGAAAGAGGGAATAAGCCAAGGTTAGAGGGATCAAGCAGATCAGGCATTCATAGTAAGACAGTCTGCATTAGAGTGACTAGGTGGATATGTGGAGCCTTCACCAGCTGGAGGGAGACTGGGAATTACAAGTTTCATCAACAGAACCAAAGCACACTACATATTCCATAGGGCAGAAGACTTACTATGTAATAATGACCCCCTGCACACACCTCTCCCCCAATTGATAATGCACAGGTTGAGGTCATTGTGCACTTAAAACAAGTCATCATACAACCTGGGTATAGCTGGTAACCCATACCTGATCTTGAAGTTTGACTTTGTCCCCTCAGATGTGTTAATATTTCTGAAATGTTTTTGCCTTTGGTATCTAGGTTTGAGCATCTCCAGATGCTTGTGGTTTACTTCATATTCTGGTCCCCTACATATTCCATAGGGCAGAAGACTTACTATGTAATAATGACCCCCTGCACACACCTCTCCTCCAATTGATAATGCACAGGTTGAGGTCATTGTGCACATAAAACAAGTCATCATACAACCTGGGTATAGCTGGTAACCCATACCTGATCTTGAAGTTTGACTTTGTCCCCTCAGATGGGTTAATATTTCTGAAATGTTTTTGCCTTTGGTATCTAGGTTTGAGCATCTCCAGATGCTTGTGGTTTACTTCATATTCTGGTCCTTACAGTTGAGCTGATATGACACATCTGTTATCTAATGCGTCTACTATGTGCTCATGGACAAGGCCAAAGAATTAACTCTGGTCCTTACAGTTGAGCTGATATGACACATCTGTTATCTAATGCGTCTACTATGTGCTCATGGACAAGGCCAAAGAATTAACCTGGGCTTGGAGTGTTTATGCTTTCACAGTTTGCTGTCTCAGTTTGGTACAACATTGGTCTCTTGCAAAAGGCCTATTGAAACCAAGCTGGGAATGCAGCAGAGCAGAGGTGTTCTAAAAGTCCCCTGGAAATCTGCCCTTCAGCAGCTAAATTTTCTATAGATTGTATCCCTCCACCAACTAACTACCAGTGGGGCTTTTAAAAAGTGATATAACCTAAGGGCAGCAAGTTACCCATACTTCACACTGGACCTCTGGGTCTTTATCTAAAAAGAAAAAAGGAATAGAAAATATGATTTTGAGTTTCTTTCAGCCCTAAAATTTGAGAATTTGGTAATTCTCAGTAATAAAAATCAGATTTTTTGCCTGTAGAGCAATAAATTTGTCCACCTATATGTATTCTGCAACATTCATCTGCCTCAAGCCCATTGTCACCACTACTTTCCCAGATAGAGACATACGAGGCTGGCATAAGCCTAGTAGAATTTCTTTAAGAAACCAGACCCAGCCACCCAGCCCATACTCACAGGCTCCCATCATTCTCTCTCATTGTTCTACCCATTCATTCAACAAACATTTATTGAAGGCCTGTTATGTGCTAGGTACTAATCCTTAGAACCTACTCATGGCTTTTTAATCCATCTTCCCATCCACTTTCTTTAGCAAACCAGGCAGACAATAGTGTAGGAAATGTATATTTAATCATTCTCTTGAATGGTCAGAACTCTAAAATTAAGTTTTCTATAACAAAATGCAATACAGTCACGATGGGTCCAAAGTACCAGGGAGGCAGTGGTCAGCACATGAAAAGTGTGGGAAGGGAGCTGGAAACCAAACATTCTTTTTCATCAAACTTCATTCCTCAAGGTCTCATTTCAAAGGGCCTCTGCTTTCAGAAGTCTCTGTGTGTTTCAAGGAAGATTCAGGTTTGTTATCTTAATTTGAATTTTGGCCAGGCAGGGTCCTGAGATCTAAATTCAGAATAAGAGGACTTGAGATGGAATTGAGGCACCACTCTTACAGAACCTGGTTTGTAGAGTAGAATGAAGGGGTGGGAATTTAGAAGCTCAGCAAGCTGAAGATAATCCCATCAGGAATTTGCCATAGGCCTCGTCAACTCTGTTTGCTGAAAGATGTTATCTTGGTTGCCTGACACAGATTCCTGGCTCTCTGTGCTGAGGCAGCAGCCAAACAGACAGAGCCAATGTCTATTTTTAGGAAGCAAACAGATTTGTTTGCTCCCCTCTTTTCTAGATCCTTTTCTACTCTAAATCAGGGTTTTTAACCTTGGCATGATTGACATTTGGGGCTTGATAATTCTTTGCTGTGGAGAGATGTCCCGTACATTGTAGGCTACATTGTAGGCTACATTGTAGCCCAGCATCCCTGGGCTTTACCCCTAGATGCCAGGAGCACTGCCCCTCTCCCCCAGTTGTGACAAAACTGTCTTCAGACATTGCCAAATGTCACCTGGGGTGGGGTGGGGGCACAAAGTCACCCCAGTTGAGTCCCATTGCTCAAGATGCTATTAAAAGCTGAGGTTATAGCTTTCTACACAGGGTAGAAAGAAGCCTCAAAACTTGTGAAGACATAATGCCACATAACCAAGGTGAGAGGTCCTTCCCTGGACCACTCATGGATGAACATCGTCTGAGAAGTAAAATGGCATTTGTTTGTTCAAAAAAGAAGGTACTCGGGGCCGGCCCGGTGGCGCACTGGAGAGTGCCCCGCTTGGGAGTGTGGCGGCGCTCCCACCGAGGGTTCGGATCCCATGTGGAGACC